GTAGATGACCATTCTTGCCTCCCCCTCTTCTCTCATCATATTGATCAAGCGCCTTGTAGGCCAAGGCCTACCCCATCGCCATTGCCTATAGAACCACCATCGTCCCTGCTTCTATCTCTTCCTCTCCCCATTTCCCTGATCCTGCGACCCTCCATCAGGCCCCGCAGACCTCGCTTTTGGAGCCCAACCACTGCGCTCATTTCACCATTCCAGGTTTCTCTGTCTTCAATGCCACTTCCATCCCCAAAACCGCTATCGGAGGCCGAGGCCGACGTAGATTCAGACGCCGCTGAACTGACCTCATCGTCGTGATTTCGATCTACGTCTGTGTTGACGCGGAGTGCGCGCAGACCGGCATCCAGACTTCGTTCGACGTCCGCGACTGTGCTGTTGTTGCTCGAAACTGAGTTGGAGAAGCCATTTGTGGTCCCGTTCGTGCCTGATACACCGTTGACGCCCTTGAAAGCAATACCGGAGCCACCGCCAGCCGCCATGGCCGCAGCATTGAATATGGCCGCGGTATTCCTGTTATCCAATAGGACGTGAAGTCGTTCGATAATCGCTTCCAACAGACCATCGATATGGTACGGTCGCGCTAATTGAAGGAGAGAGCAGAGGATCTGCGGTGAGCATAAGGCGGAGTTATGTGGTGGTAGTGATGATGTGTATAAGAAATGTATAAGCGCTTGAAGTGTGAGATGAGTGTGAGGTAGGAATAATGTTCGAGGCCGTTGTGATGGTGAGTGTGATGAAGGTTCTGGTGGGCTTAATGAGGAGTAGGAGTTCGCTGATACAGCTGTAGCCTCTGATGGTGTTATAGTGTTGGCGGTAAGTGTTGTGGCTGTTGAGTAGTTCGTTCGGATAGAAGGTGTAATAGTAATGCTTGAGTTCCTCGAGGGATGCATTGTGGCAGTGGGCCGTAAAGTCGCCGCCTCAGCGTTTTCTTTCTCTGCGCTTTGAGCACTCTCGCGGAGTAATTGGTTGAAATATGGACCCCAGCGTCGAGCAATGATGTGGGAATTAACGGGTATGCGCTCGCCATGTAAAGCGAGGAAATCCATATCAGCAAGTTCCTTCATACCCAACGCCATTTGTCCTAGCTCGGTCGCTGCGGGTAGCAGTGTGCGGCCACCAGCAAGCATATCAAGTCTATCATGCTGTGGCGGTGCGCTGACAGAGTTGAACCCTGACGCAGGCGTCACCTTGCGTGGGTTGTCATAGAGCCCGAATGCTTCTAGCTCAACAACGCACATGTTCGAGAAATTGATGCGCCGATGATTATAGTCTTCGACCAAGCTCCTCTTGCGGTTGCCAAGAATGACGAAACAATTCCGACGGTTCCAGAGCACACCTCTGTTCCAGCTTCCCTGGCTGAAAATGTTGCCGCCGGCTTCGATTCGTCCCCAGCTCAGCGTTCGCAAATCAAGAGCCCAAAGCGCATATTCTTGTTTCGACGATGTCAGAAATGTGCCGCTCACTACAAAGTGGTTGTTGATCACACCACCGTTCGGGAAGCGGAGACCTGGCGGCGAGAAGTTGCCGTGCATTGGCTTCTCGGAAAGCGTACCATCGGGGTGCCGCACTTGTAGTTCGAGCTTGACGTCCAGGAAATTGTAGTTTGAGTAAATGAGCATCGATGACTCGCCAGTCTTGTTCGGACTCCGTTCCTCCGGTGTTCTTGCTTCACTGCCCTGTCGTGTTCCTCCACCAATATCGTTCGGGTCAATGCTAGTGAGGGGCGCGACTACGCTTCGGTATGCGCCACAACTTCTGCCTAATGTGCTCGTTTCCGTCCACTTCAGACTCCGGAGGTTGAATACGCTGATTTGTTCAATGTAGTGATTGGCGCTGTCCTGACCACCCACAACAAGCATTTCCGCACCGCCCTCGCCATCCAACTGCACTCCCAGGGAACCTTGGTTTGGATTCGATGAAGGTGGATTGTGTCGTATGGCTGTCACCGCAGCTCCGGTCGAACTGAAAACGGCCGAGCTAGGAAGTATGGTCGCGCAGTGAGCATAGCGACCCTGTGGAGATTCGCTTGTAGAAACGTGCATCCAAGTTTTTGTCGGCGCATCATAGATGTGAACATCTGACATGACCACCACCTCGGGTTGTGCATCGGCGGGAGCACCTTGTATCACGGAAGTTGCTTGATTAGAAGACGAGCTTACAGGTGACATGCCTCCATAACAAACCAGCTTCGTGTCGCCAAGCGGACAAACACTGTGGAAATACCGAGGAGGCGGGATGTCACCTTTGGCGTCGACTTTTGTCCAGTGGCGCTTGACAAGGTCAAGCTCGTACAGGTCCGATGTAAGCTGCGGTCTTGTTCTGGAAAGTCGACGGCCGCCGAAAACATACAGCTTGTCGCCTAATATTGTGGTGGTGGCGCCTACGAGCGGGTGCGGTTCCCTGCCTGTTGTGCGATGTACATTGCAGACTAAGCCCGACAACCCCGCGGTTGAACTCGTTGGTGTCGCAAGGCCTGCAAGCATGGCTGGTGACTGAGAGATACCAGGCGTCCGGGTCGACGATGTTCCATCTTGGCCGTCTTCATGATGCAAGCTGGTCTGGCTGTTGTTTCGACTCGATAGATAGGGTGCCGATGTCTGAGAGTTCAGGGTGTTGGTCCGGCTAGCCATCCTGGTCGGGATATGTAGAGAAGTAGGTGCGCGCTGAAATCCACCAAGATCGAAAATGGGATCGATAGAAGACGGTGAGACTCTTTGTAGAAGTATAGCCCAATCTGGTATCACAATCTCCACATGACGAGGCGAAACGCTGGATTCGCTGGAGGGTTTGTCGCTTGGCAATGGAGAGCCAGCGAGGCTAGGACTGCCACTCGATCGCGAAGGGCTATAATCAATATTCGTACAAGGACTCTCGGGTGTTACAATCTGATCATAGACAATGGGCACGTGCGACAAGGCCGGAGGACCACCGGATTCGGATGTGTTTTCCGATTGGATCCTGCGATATGCGCTGGAAGCAAAGCCCGTGGAGTCGACAGGTCTTCTCTTCTTCGACAAGATTTGCTTGATATGTAATCTTCTAGACTTTTTCCAAAACGAAGAGGTGTCACCCAATGGTTCGGTACTAGAACCGATGGATGGGTAAGAAAGGCCTAAAGGTAATGCCATGTTAGCGTTCGGTCTGCAAGATCCGAGAAAGTAATGCTGAAAGAGGAGGAATCGCCAGATTTTTGAAATATTCCCATGTTACCAGCAGGGCCGGGCTACCAGCAAATCTCACTGACCCAGATGGGAAAGCCATGTTTACACATGAGGGATGAGGATGTTGCTGCAGGTAGTGCGACTTGCTACGGTGGTACGAATGCGCCTTATAGTAGGACAAGGAAAAAAATCCAGCTTTTGCAGGCAGAGGATTGGGATACATGTTGATATTGGCTGCACGCAGCAGTGGCTGAAAGTTGTCGAGACGAAAGAGAGTGAGGGGTGCAAGCTTATAAAAGGAAGACAGGTCTTACTTGAGGGTGAGCGCCACACTTAGGAGGCCACACCTAGGAGCGGGGAAGATGAGACCCAGGGGAAGGGTAGACGTATGCAGAGAAGGAAGACAACGCGTCGTCTTGCTGAACTTCAGGGCCCGCGCGATACAGAGATGACAGCAAGCCTGAGCGAGGTTCTGTGGAGCGCTCTATCCCGGATGCAGCCTAGAGGCTTGGCGTAAATCGTCAGTCTCAGGTGCCTGCAGGTCGCTAGCAAGGGAACAATGTTGGGCGTCTCTAACGTCGAGCGCCGTCGGTGCAGCTGCAGCACTCGAAAGCTGGAGGCGTTCCTGTGGGTGAAACGGGTAGCAGCCCTGAAGGAGAAACCAGGCGACGGCCGGGTGCGGGGCGGGATCCGAGATGAGAAGATGGGCTGAAACTCGAGACGAAAAGCCGTTGGGCACCTCTGGAGACCACAGGCAGCAACGGCAAATAGCAAAGGTCAATGTGCGACACGCGATTTTCGGAGTGCAAGGGCGCCGTAACCTTTTCCTTGACGAGGCTTGCAGAGGTATCTCATCAACGTTCAAGCACGGTCGCCAAAACAAATTAGCGCAGGGAATGCCGGTCGACAAATCAAGAGTCGTATGCTCAATATTAGAGGCGCTGTTAGCTTAGCAGGCCCGTCTAGGTGTCTTCATATCGGATGATCGGTGAGGCTGAACCCAAGAAATTATTTGGAAAGCGTGAATGTAGTAGTCGAAGACGTTCCGGTAGTGCATCGGACTGTGCCGAAAAGAACGGGCTGGAATAGATGCAGTAGTAGTAGACTGTGCCGAAACGTTGCTTCTCGGCCTCTAGCACCGTCGTCATTGTTTTCCAATCGGAGGCTAGACACCCTCAGCGCGTTCTTGAGTCGACACAATTACAATGCTAGTTTGATATACGTCGCATTTACGACGCCATGTGTTCAGCAGAAGTCTTGCAGACTGAGGGATTCGAAGATGTCCAAGAAGACGGCCAATCCGCTACGTGTATACTAGACCCTGGGATTCTGAGCTCGATTCCACGATGGAGAACCCAAAGATTTGACAGGCTGTGTAACTTCTCAACGATCCTTCCTAGACGACAGCGACTCACGGCTGGAAGGAACGACATGCGCGTAGCCGCACAATGACTCGAGTACATTGAGCAAGGAGCCTAGATGGAAAAGTAAACCTTGTTACTAGTCAAAACCACGTCATCACAGGGTAACACGACACTAGAGCATATTAGAGTTGGTGCTGGCTGCCGCCTACACAGCATCGAAACCGTGTGTATGAAGAGTACATAAGCATGCGGAGATTTCTACACAGAGCATGTAGCAGGCGTTCGTATAATATGGCTCTTTTGTAAGCATAAAGTGCGACACAGTTTCCGTCGTGCCCAATTTTGATCGATATGGTAGTCAAGACGTTGAAAACGATAAAAGTGCAGAATGTTTATCAAACACACCACTCGCTATCCGTCATGTGGATCTCATCCCACAACCAGAGCTGGAAGGAGAACCTCAATCACGCCCCCCAATCACCTCTAAGCGATGAGATACCCCATGCACCTTGTCGTAGATGTCGCGAGCCTCAGCAACCAGCTGCTCCCTCTTGACCCAAGACGCCAAGTGACGCTGCCCTACCCATTTGACAAGGTATTCAATATTCCCATCACTGCCAGTCTTGTGTGCCTGTATCCGCTTGTATGGCCACTCCCAACTTGCCTCATCATCTGCTTTCATCGACCAGACACCCCAGCCCTCCTTCATTTCTCCGTTCTCTTTCTCGTAGTCCAGCGCCCATTGCCTGAAGAACGCTGCGATCCAGGGTTCTTCGTCGGGTGGGTAATCGTCAGGATCGTGTTCGCGGGGTGGGAATTGGGTATGCTCGAGTTTGGGCGCGCTGAGCTCTGAGCCGTAGTGCTTGCGCGCATCTGCGATGTTAATGGCGAGCAAGAAAGGATCCAGCAGCTCAGCAAGGTCGATACCCGTATGAAACTGCCATTCGTATCGCTTCAGGGTGGTACGAACATGAGCGAGGAGTCGTTTCTCTGCTTGCTTTGGTAGTGTATAGGCGTCGTCGTCTTGAGCGAGCTGTCGAAGGGCATCCTTGATACTACCGAGCATCTCTCTAGCACGTACTGTCACTACAAGTGATCCAGCAGCCACATTCTCTCTCGCCCATGCTGCGCATAACTCGCACGCATCTGGTCGTAAGGGCAGGTGCGCATCGCACCAAGGTAGTGGGCACTTCGTACTCGAGGAAAGGTGCGTCTCAATACATTCTCGGCAGAAGATATGAGAACACCCAATCTTGACTGGTATCACCTTTTCGCGGCCGTCGGGGGTGCTGAGGTAGTCTTCGAGACAGATTGAACACTGCGCCTTCTCTACGGACAATTGTCTGGTAGCTCGGACAATGGTCATGGAGTGAGGACATGATGCCGCGCTCGACTTGCGCTTCGATGGGGACAGTTCCAAAACCTCCTGCTCGGATGATGGGGCCTTTCGCTTTCGTGGGCTTGTCCATACACCGGTGAAGTCCGTGCTGATGTTGTCAAAGTAAGGAAAGGGCATCCTGAGAAGCTGCAGTTGCAGTGCCAAAACCCAAGGGAATCAATGAGGACGGTTCAAACAATTGAGAACAAAGTGACAGCGTGGGGGAGATGGTGGAAGAAGTGGCTCAAGACGTGGGAGTTGGAGCACGCGAGGCTACCGCTGTCTTTATAGATGGGAAGGTGCGCCTCACCGCGACTCCCCCGTTTGCACGGAAATGGCATGAGGGCAGCACTGGTGGTAAGAGACCGGAATGTGAGGTAAGAGGCAGTGGGGACCGGTTGACAATTCGTTCGAACTATCTGCCAGGTGACTCATTGCGGCGCGGTATCTTGTGTTACAGGCAATTTCTTCTCTCTTACAACGGGTATCTCCTCCTCATACACTTCTTCCACACGCGCACCAGGGAACGCTTTCCTCAGCTCTTGGCCCAGAAAGCGAATGCCCCAATCTTCCCCTTGCCGATGTCCTACGCAGACTACTGACATGCCCAGTGCTTTGGCTGCCTCCATGCCACTGACTCTGGGTTGACCGGTCAGGTAAAGCAAGTGTCCACCGTCTTCACCCTCCATTATCCACCCGCGCTCCTGAGCCATTGCCAACACGCAATGCACCTCGTCCTCGTTGAACGCGTTCATGATCGCAATGATGCGTATCTCGTCCGAGTATCCTTCGTGCGCGAGCTCCGATGCTCCAAACTCATCCTGTACTTGGCTCAGAACTGCATCCAGAGTTTTAGAGACCTGACCGATGATTCCAATCTTTCTCTCTGGATCTCCTTTGTAGCCTTGCACGCAGAGGCAGTCTGCCGTCGCCATGCCCAGGCGCTCCGCCAGCACCGTGTTCCATCCAACAGTGAGGACTTCGTCGAAAGATGTATGGCTCGAAAGTACAAGTGTTCCTTTGCGCACGCTGCGCCTGTCGAGTTGGAAAGGCCGGTGCAGAAAGCATAGTGTTCGCGGCGGCCGGGGGTATATTCTTGGGAGGAGCGTCGTTGCGCCAATGGTGCTCTCGTCTAGTGGATAGCCAATCAATGAGTATACCCCTGGTGTAGGGGTAACACTCAATACAATCTGCTCAACCACGGCGGTCTCAGAGTCGTATCGAGGGTTTCGCGGCGTGTGGTAGAGTCGCTGGACATCGTTTTCCTTCGGCGGTAGGAACGTCTCGACGAATCGCGTTACGGCTGCATGCGTGGGCTTCTTCGGTCGCGACATGTTAAAGAGGGAGGTCAGCAATCTGTTCATTAGTAGTGATCAAGAAAGCCTTTCGAAAGCTTTGCGACTTTTGGCTTCAAGTACGTCATCATCGCTTCTAAACCGTGAAGCGGTGGGTGTGCAGGCCCCGCCATCGTTCCCATCGCGTTCACTGTCGCCATGAATGCGCTAAGAAGTAGGGACGATGTTTCGAAGGCCATGTTCGTCGCGCGACGCGATGATGTACAGTGCAGAGTGGTATCGTGGCGGGCACCTGGGAAGCTCTGGAGCGCGTTGACCTCGGGATCGGACGGGAAGACACTAGTCCCGGTGCAGTTTAGTCTCAATGCAGCCACTCTATCTCCATCCGCATTTTCTCAATATTGATTGACGACGATGCAGTCAGAGGAGAAATTCAAACATCTAACTTGTATCTTGACGGAACAATAAATAGTGGAAGCCCTTCAAGTAGTGACGTTCCATGTCTGTAGTCAATGCTCTGACTAAACGCACTATTTCCCTCGGCTTCTCCATCTTTCGCTCCAGAGTGCTCTTGACATCGAGTCATACTCCATCGTCCATCCAACGTCCTCAACCCACATATCGACCTTACGGCTTTATCACGATGGGTGTCACTGCAGCCCCAACTCCCGCCATTGTTGGCGCTTTGCAATGCCAAAAAAATTCTTATCTTCAAACACTCGAGACGGAGGTAGTATCCTGCGAAGAATATGTACCACCAAAGTCCTCACAACAGAATGGCAAGTCGAAAACGAAGAAGTCCACAGACCCCACCAAAGGTCTTGAAAACGGAGATGCAGCATCCGGCAAGACATGGCTTATCGAGCTTGCGGACTCAGTGTTATTCCCGGAAGGTGGTGGCCAACATACAGACTATGGTATCCTCACAACACTGAAAGACGAAAAGAAGGAGGAAGTACCGATAAGAAGTATGCAACGTCACGGTCTCCGCTGCATCCACTTTTCTCCCACACCTCTCGAGCCTGGAACACCAGTCCGTCAAACCGTCGATTTCGCCCGCCGCTGGGACCTCATGCAACAGCACACTGGCCAACATCTCCTCTCAGCCGTCATGGACTCTATGGACCTGCCTACGCTGGGCTGGAGCATGGGTCAGCCCGGAGAAATGAACTACGTAGAACTACCACGGAAACCATCGGAAGAAGAACTCCAAACTATTCAGAAGAATTGCAATGCCAAGATTAGGGAGAGCATGCCAATCACTGTGGAAACACCAGAAGGCAAGGGGAGCGATAGCCTACCTGAAGACTACGATAAAGAGAGGGGTGTTGTCCGCTTCATCAAGATTGGGGATATGGACTACAATGCTTGCTGTGGAACACATTTGCAGAACTCGTCGCACATCAATGTCATAATGCTACACCACATGCAGTCGGTACGAGGCACCAACTGCAGGCTCTTCTTCACGGCTGGAGATCGCGCGATCAAGATGGCTACGGAGTCTATCAACGGTCTTCGCTCCATCGCTGTGTCTTTGTCATCCGGGTCGGGGCCTGCGGAAGTTGCGGCAAAAGTACAGAGAATGAGCGAGATTATCTCTGAAGGGCAGAAGAAGGAGAAGAAATTACTAGCTGAGATAGCAGCGTTCGAGGGTGATCGCATAAAGAACTACCTACAAAGCCACGATACGGCCTTTATGCATCGCGCAACAGATGGTCTTGACTTCATCAACCTTGTGCTCTTCGAAGTCAAGGAAATTATCAAAGAGCGAGAGGCTGTCATAGTCTTGTCTTCAGGCGAGGTCAAGAGCTCTGGATCTATCGTCGTGTTTGGCAAACCTGACTTGGTTGAGAAGATGGCGGCGAAGGTGAAGGAGGTTGTAAGCACGGCCAAAGGAGGCGGCAAGGGCGAAAAGTGGCAGGGCAAGGTCACCGAGTGGCAGAAAGGCGAAGTTGAAGCGTTGAAGCAAGCTATTGATGCAAAGTAAAAACTATGGGATATCTGATAGAAGGTAGGTATATACAAGTCGAAGAATTGGGTAAAGACGAAAGTGGTATAGAGCGATTGTCCAAGATGCGTGATCCTTCAAAGCAAGAAGAGTAAAAAGGAAAGGTATTTACGTCGAACGAATGGGATTGCCATCTGGGCGAAGCTGGAAGATGAGAAAAGAAGGCGGATTCGTGAGTATCTAGACGCTGTAGACCTTCACGGAGTTAATGAGCCAGTACGTCTAGTCACTGTTAGTATGTTCTCTACCAAAAAACCAGAGGAGGAAGACTTACGTCGCCAAAAGCTTGGGGCTGGTTCGCCACATAAGCATTGCAACTGGGATTGAGCTGGGAGCAAGAGTTCGAGCCCCAAACGCCACCCGCCCAGTCTCCACAGAAGGTAATGTCGAACACGATGTTCAAGTCCCTGAACTTGGCATTGTAATCACATCCTCCACCGAAGTTCGCGATCGGGGTACCCCAAGTTCCGGGATCGGGGTTTCCGCTCCGGATGTTTGCGGGGATGTCGCGGGTGGCAAAGTACCACACCTTGATTCCACCGTCTGTCCATAGTGTGGCGTATACACCACCGCCGTTGGCGTTGAATTGTGAGCCGTATGTGACAGGGTTGTTGGCAGAGATGCCGCAGCCGTTGAAGCCGCCGCCGGCACCGCAGTCCCCGCCCCCGCGGCTTCCTGTCTCACCTCCTGAGCCGATCCCTGGGTTGCAGCCAGGTGAGGTATGAAGGGTGACTTGGTTGGTGGGGGCCTTGTGAACACCTTCGTAGATGTCGATCTCGCCTTGGTTAGGCCAGTTGGGACCGACCATCCAACTGCAAGTACACCGTTAGTCTTGCACAGCATGAAAGCGATATTACAGGCAGGTGAGGAACTTACAAGGCGGGCCACGAGCCACATGCACTACCGGGCACGTGTGCAAAGTCTGCAATCACAAGCGCGCGGTTGTAGGCTGTCTTGCTCTGCACGCGTACACTCTTTCGACCAGGACCGTTGGGGTCAAGGTGCGTTGTAGAGTCTACACCCATGTAAACTTGACCGTTTTGCGTCTTGAGCAAACCAAGCTGTTGAGCTTGTTGCCCGTTAACGTAATCTACGAAGCCATCTAGATGTTTGTTAGACACAAAGTGACATAACGTTTTGCCAGTGCACATACGTGTAGGATCACCGATGTCCTGGACGTCGAACTTGCTCACCCAGTTACTGGCATCGTACGTGTCGATCAAGTTGTATGCAGCCGAGGCATGAATATCGTCTGAGGAGTAGACATAGGATGAACCATTAGCCCAAAAGCCAGGTCCGGCTGGTAGTGCAGTGGCACCACGCCACAGGATGGGGACAGATAGGAGGAGAGATTTGAGAGACATGGTATCGTATGTGTGATCAAGATGTATTGTCGTACGAATAGATATCAGACCCGGGATTCCGTGATATACTTATAGCCATGCGCATCTTTGTCGCGACCAAGATGCGCATGCTTCCATACCCCTTGCTCACCGTCGAAGATGCATCTAGGTCGGCTGCACTTAGCAGAGGGGGATCCTCGTTGGAGATTGCATGACCTACTGGCTCGCTGTACACACATGCCATTGGGCGCGATGATCAGATTAGGGACAAAAGCCTCGCGATGTTGCAGCACTTGTAGGGACGAAGGTGCAAGGTTCGAGCGGTTCGCGGGTAATTCGCCTAGTTGAGCAGTTCGAAATTGACCCCAGAAAACGTGGACGTGCCGCATGATGGGAGTCTAGACACTTGTAGCCTCGTGGTAGAGGTAGTGGCGGTTAGACTCGCTGGTCGTTGGGCGGTTTCAGTAGTTTTGTTGGTAAACGGCTTCTGGGGCTCGTGAGTGGTGGAGAGCCATCGCCAGTTCATCAAACTGGCCTTGTTCCCGCGGACCGCATCGCGAAGCGACAGCAAAACGGGGGAAAAGTAACATAGAGATGTGAAATGTGACAAACAGAATTGCGTGTGAAAAGGAGTCGGGTGCGGCCAAGGTCACTGTCTCCCTTCTCCAGACGTTCACGTGGCGCGTCGACATACCTTCCCAAGGTTCTTTCGGGAATAGCGCTTTCACCCCGCGACTGCCTGTTTTGCCCGACCACATCTGCATTCCAGAACTAGAAACATTCCAGAGAGTCTCGGGACAAGAAACGGTCGACCTGTGGACGGTAAGGACGAGATTTAGATGAGTTTTTGGTGTGTCGTGGTACAGACCCCGCAAGGTTTATCCCCATGGACGAGGCATCTGATGTTGTAGGTCACACTGGCTTGCTCCCACGCCACACAAGTGCTTTCTCTGGCGGGTTCATCGGTGTCTGAGTCTCGACCCCGGATTATCATCGCACATGCGGGGAGCTCGCGTGGTTTGAGGTAGCACTGCTTGTGTCGACTAAGAGTGCGAAGCGCCTGGTCCTCTGGTCTCCTGCGACAGTCCTTCACCGCTCAACGGACTTGTTGACTACCTTCTCGTGAGTCAACAACAATCAAACCGTTGGGAATAAAAAGCTAGGTGCGCTCTGGGAGCAGGAGAAGCTGCTGAGTCCCGGTGTCGGTTGCAGCCGCAAGTGCGGCTGCGGCTTTCCCGTGAGCATAGATGCTGTCGTCAGTATCTGCACGGAGAGTAGATGTCATCGTCAAAGTTGGATCCAAGTTGCTATCTGAACGCTCCTATTATCATTCAGGAGTCAGATGTGAGATCACTGCTATTGGCGAGTATACACGCCACTGTGTTGGGACACGGCACGTCTTCACGCACGGTTTGATGGGACAAAGAAATGATATGACCCTCCCGCTGTTAGACACATATCTGTGCTTCCTGTTGCATCCAATAGAATGTCTACCAATGAAGGCATGGACACCAGTCATTTCTATTGAAGCATTTGGCAGTTGGTATCGCTTATGGCTGAGATAAGTGTCCGTCCATCCTTGCGCAAGTAACCAGTCACCATAACTTCTGCGCTATGTGTATGATGGACTTAAGTATTGAGTTCTGCATCATGATTGCCAAGTATGGCGAGGGCTGCATGACGCATATGTTCTATAAGTATATACAGGTTAACGTGCGCACGAGGTATGGAAGGCAAAGAAAATGAGTCAACCTTAGTGAAGCATACACACGTCAATGATCCTTAGCAGGACTTGTGATTGCAATTTAGATACTTTAATATCTGTTTTAGTACACTGAATCAGTCATGCGCAGTGAACATACCTTGGAAGATGCGCTGAATCTTGGCTATATCCGTTACATATATGCTATAGTGTTCTTGCTCACGCTTGATGGACGTGCTGTTGTAGCATCTTGAGCGCTCGATGCTCAGATGTTGGATGACTCGTGAGTATAGTTCGATCTATGCATACCTAAAGAGTCCTGCGGGGATCATGGCAACCGCATCTTCCATGAATAACTCGTCAGCGTCCACGTATAGCGACTCAAAGCTTCTTATAGGCATTTTGTCCACCTGATATTTGCGTGGTGGATAGCGGGAATGTGTACTGATGAACACTTTCGCTGACATACACATTAGATCAAATATCTCATGGAAATCTCCAGCCAACCTTACTGTGGCTTGATCTAGGTACTCACTATTATCTAAACAAGAGATTTCTATCAACACCAATATACCAAAATGAACACATCAACTTAATAGATCAGTCAAGGATGCGATAGATTCGATTCTACTCGAAGTACAGACTGTTCCACTGCCAAATAACTGTGCAGTGTACACTCACATAGGTGTTTACCGATGTCAGTCACACCGTTATCATCGTGGTGGCAGTTCACCCTTTTGCACTTGCGGAGAGAACCCATAATGACAGTCATTGAGGGCGCTGTGATGGACTCATCAAACACCATGGCCCGCGACTTTCACTCATTACTCCTGGTGGTACAATGACTCTGTTGAACTATATGAACGAACTTCTGCAGGTGTTTACTTCTCACACAACAGCAGAACGCAACAAGTGGGAGACTGCAACCAGAAATAAAGTCACAATACAAGCAATATGGCTACATCCGGCCCGCCCACGTCTACGGACACGAATCATGCGAGCGACACGCCTTCTCTCAGTCCACCCACGTCTTCCGATCCGAATCTTACAAAGAACATGCGCAAACTTGCCAAAATCTTCGGTGCCATATCTTTCGGTTGGGTTTCATGGCTTTTGATGCTGGAAGACAAACCGAATGTTGGCGTACAAGCATCGTTGTGGCGCCCTTGCAGCTTGTTCAACCTCCTATCACTAGGTGCCTGGTCATTTTTCATAGTCAACTACACAATGACAGACAAAAGGTCGAACCGAAAGACCACGCCAGGAGAAAAACCCAATGTGTTATGGAACCTCCTCCATATCGTACCGATGTTACTCCTCCATATTACGATCAATAAGAGCATGTCAGTCAAGGACAAGGGTCTCCTCTGGTTCTCGGCCTTGTTAGTCTTTCGATACTGGCGCGCTATCGTTACCCGATTCTTCTATACTCAATACAAGGCAGCCACCGTACCTGAAGATAAGTTGAAGTTCAACAAATCAGCTTGTACTGTAATCGTACCCACAGTTGGTCCTATGCACAACCCGGTGTTCGCATTGATGGTTGAAGGTATCCTTCGGAACAGGCCAGAGCGACTCATCTTCGCTGCAAACAACGAGAAAGTGGGGGGCAGAATCAAAGAGGTGGTTGCCGACGTGATACAAGCCCTCAATGGCGGAAAGAGAGACAAAGAGGGAGACAAAAAGAAAGAGAGCGAGTATTACAAATTGTGGGACGAGCCTACAATCTTTTTCAATTGGGACGATGAAACAAAAATTGAGTACGAATACATTGTTGAATCCAACAAGCGCAAGCAGACCAACGAAGCTATCGGGAAGGTAAAGACAAAAATCACTCTTATGGTCGATGACACCGCTATCTGGCATCCAAGGTTCTTACAGGAGACTCTACCGGCTTTTAACGATCCAAAGGTTGGTCTCGTGGGTACGCGCAAGCGGGTGGAATACATACGCCCTTCTCGTACCGAGGACGCACACAAGGGGAAGAGCCGCATGCGGTTTTGGCTGAGCTGGTATCGATCTGGCTTTTGGAACACCGTCGGTGCGCAGTATCTTGATCGCCATAGCTATGAGATCAGGGCGTCGAATGCTGGCGATGGCGCCGTATTTGCCATCTCCGGTCGTACTCTCGCCATCTTGACCGACATAGTACAGGATGACAAATTCAGGAAACAATTTGTGGAAGAATACGTCCTTACGTGGGTCTTCGACTGGTTGAGCTACTTCAGAAGCTGGCACATATTACCCGCTGGCTGGCTACTCAATATATTCGAAGGAAAAGGTCTAACCAACAAAGGTATCGGGCCCCTCCTTGCGGACGATGACAACTTCATCACGCGATGGGTCATTAACCGTGGATGGAACATCAAGGTCCAATATTCGCCAGCGGCCACTATGATGACGAGATTGGGAAGCGTGGAGATCTTCAAGTATGTGGATCAATGTGAGCGCTGGAGCCGCACAACCTTTCGTCAGAATCCTATCGCGCTCTTTTCGGATCGAACCATCTGGTGGAAATGGCCTATCGGAGTGTGGACAGTGTACTTCCCGTGGATGTACAACTTCGCGGTCTTCTGGGATGGTCTGGCCATCTACAACTTTTGGCGATCCGGACTGTATCAGAACTCCTCGAATGGCAACGCACGACTTGTCTGCCTGATCCTGGCTATATGGGCGACTAAGCTCATCAAGACTTGGCGATGGTTTCGAGAGCATCCTCTGGACTTCCTTCTGTTCTTTGTCATTCCGGCTTACCCTTTGTTCGGATACTACCATTCCTGGCTCAAGCTGTACACAGCGATTAGCTGCTGGAAGAATGATTGGTCTGGGAGGGACGTGAAGAAGGCAGAAGAAGATGCAGGTGCCATCCTACGCGAGCAAAATAAAGATATCATCATAAGCCGAGCGAAGGAATAGGCCAATAGGACTGGCTGACCTCTTCCAAAACATTCGACAACATCAACCACTTCGCCACATTGACGGCTACCGGTGCAAGCCAAACCTTGCGCTTCTTTATTCGTCGATCAACGCCAGTACGGAGGTCGGTGCGACGAAACAGTCGAGCCAGGGTATGTTCGACGATTAGACAATATCTCTTTCGTTTCCAATGGGCGTTTGTTATTTTCGATACCCGGGCTTTGATACGAAGTAATTCAGCGTTGATATCCATAACTAGAATGTGTATGCATTACCACGATAGAAATTTGCAACTTGTTTTCATTAATAGGACGCTCATACCTTGACTCCATGCTGTGAACCAATGTACACCACTTCAGATAATGTCTAAGTTTGGTGGATGATCACTCTCGTGCCGCGCTGTTAAGTGATTGCCGGGGAAGATCACAGCTCCCCGACAGGGCCTGGTAGCCCAAATGTGACGCAGTCCTTGTCGCAATGCGACAAAATTTTAGAAGTATTGGAACGAAAGATCGGCGCGCATCCTTCTGAACCTATCATGCCCTTGTTGTTTAGACGTGTTGTTGACACTCCGTGGTTGCCAACTTTATTCGGAAGCGAAGATTCCGTGTGGGCCCATCGAATACGTCATATGCAGTGAGGTCAGTAGGTACCTCAATTCCCACAGCAGAAACGTGCACAAAACATACCTCGACTGCGATACGATACGAGCAATGTCAGCAGAGTAGTCTCCGTAGCCTCGATGAAAACGGCATTCGAGCACTAGGCGCAATTGCCTCATTCGTACCTTCCTCCACCAGGGCTGAAGGCGACCCGACGTGTTGGGACCCTTCGCTCCACATCAACTCTACTTCAACTACATCCATGGATCTCTTCCATGTTCCCTCTACATTACATATGTCTTCACGTACTCCGCATAGAACGATAACGCACTGGTTGATATGTTGTGCCCTAGGAGGACAGCGACACGCGCAGCGCATCCTTCGATCGCGCTGATCCTGCCGATCCAAAGCCACGCTCAGAGGACAACCGCTCTCGAAATAGTACCCTTGTGAGCGAGGGTCTACAGAGTGGTCGGCGAGCAGACACTCTGATATCGTATGCCGGATCACCAAGGAGGACGACATCGGTCCATGTGCAGGCACCCTGGACCCTCACAGCCAAGACTCTTCATCACCTTATGGGCTCGCGCGCGCATGTGGAGTGAATGTCGCTTGGTTTGAGACTCTCCTGCAGGACTGGGGTTGGCGAAGAATGGGGGCCAGAACGTGTCAGCGTACTAAAGGAGGACTCCAAGGTTGGCGCCAATCAAGTCTTTCGCCGGCTCGTCCTCCAGCGACGTACCGTGTCAAAGAAGGACAGATTAGCTCTGCTATCTCGTGGTCCCACAAGTGTCCCTCGCAGCGCAGAATTGCTTTTGCTCAGATGCCAGGTGGTCTGATCACTTTTGGTCAGGGTCTGCTCGGCCTTAGCCCTCTCAACCCCCTCAATCCCACTGCGACGGCGGAAAGTCGCCAGCCTAGGGCGCCCATGTGCACCATGAGGCAGCCGCTTCAGCCTGCAGATACGGGGCGGCGCCAGGCAAGGAAAACCTTCTGGTACCGTAGCCGTGCTCGCTGGATAACAGTCACAGTCAAGCCGAGCGACACGTTTAGCAGGCTCTGTTGCGCAAGCCAACGATAGGGCGCACTCAAGAACAACAAACTGTATTGTGGGCGCTTCCATTGAAGAATGAAGATACGCGGTCAGCTCTCTTCCGTTCCCGACTATCTTGAGAAATCCGGCAGTTACCACTTCTCCGCACTGCGTGGACATCTCCAGTATCTGTCCCGAAACTCAGAGGCCTGAGAGATTGGGATCCAGCCATGCGCATGCTGCAGCAGGGTTGCGATGATCATGAGGCTCTGCTCGTGGAAGGTAATCTATCAGCCGAAGCCACGGTCTGGACACACGCATGGGTGACGAGAAAAGCATGCGCGGGCAGCGACAGCAGAACTCCTCGTACGTTTACTCCGCATCCTTGTTCGCTTTCGGGCCGTCATGTGTGTCGCGTCCCAACACAGCATGGCACGGCTCACGGTGCGCGGGAAGGATGATCAACCATCTGGCCGGTGTTTTCACCCTCCTAATTGGGTTCGTGGCTTGCTTGCGGGGTTGCGCGTGCATAGGCGAGACCGACGCCAACGAATTACCTTTCACGCCTCGCTACTCCCTCACGGTGAGCCCGGCCGACGGCGGTCCATAATCAACATGGCACTTAAGCCCTGTAACGGGCCATGCCGCCCACACTCGAAGTCTTCTCCTCGGAACTATGCATTCGCAATGCGAGGTGTACGATCGTAACGAGCCCAAATTTGGCTCCCGAGCTCGCACGACTTGGTGTACGATGGCGCACAGCGCTATCAGTCAAGCATGATTACAGCCCGCTGAGTATTCAAGGCTTGTCATTCGTTGTAGCATCGTTCGCATGGCATGGAACCCTAAGATCGTGATATCTTAACTAGGGTTCCGAACTATTGGTACTCAGTAGCAAGTAATCCTGTGCTGATCACCCGTCGCAGTGGCTTTGGGCGTTCCAAGTGCTGCCCATGGCCTGTTGCTGTTGTGGTCGCACGTTTGTGTGGCCTTCCAGAAGCGGGTATACCGCTTAGTGAATCTAGCACTGCACCCCATTACAGGCGGAGGGTCGCTTCAATCTTCATCGAATCAGGGTTTGATGCAAGCGAAGAAAGTAAGACTACAGAGTAAACGCCCGAGTCTACATCGCGTGGCTAGTCAACGACGCAAGAGAACGTCGCGCCATCGCCGTCTCGGCTCCGGATCTAAACGGTGTGTTGACTATTCTAAACCCACTTCAACCCGTCGTGCCATTTGGGGATAATCGTATGTTTAGAAGCTGATGGTAGCGGTGGAAAGCCTCTCTGCGCTTATCCTTCGACGGGAATCGCTTGTCAATATTCCGGAGGTCGCCAAAGCCTCTGCAGACCTGTCCGCACACCAATAGGACATGTGCCTTCGAACACCATCAACAGAAAATGAAACACGTCTTGCATACAGGCGGGTACAATCACGACCTGGTCAATAATTGTTCGGAGTTGAATGTGCAACACACAACAAGAGGTCGACTAGGATCTTCGCGAAACAGGCCCTTTACGCTATAGCTTGTCTAGTGTCGGCCCTTCTCATCGCTGTGTCCCGCATGCCCATACCCAAGCACAGAAGACAAGCAGGGTCAATGCCTTGCGCTGGGGGTTCTGGCCATCGCAATAATTTGTGGCGGTGCGACTTCCCATACTTTTTTGCGTTTTGAATACGCTGTTCGGATGTTGCAGTATGCGTTCTTGTTGACTCGAGACCACAGAATCTCAACAGTCAGTGTGAACGATGTCGTTTACCTGCCTGAGTACGGATCTGCGGCAGTGCGCAATTCCAACCCCGAAATATACTGTCTGGCTGGCTCATGCATGGCTCAACTGTGGTTCTGGAGCGGGCGCATAGCTAAATCGATTGCGTACTCTGAATTCGAACATCCCGCGAGGCTCGGATCATAATCCTGCCGCAAAACCCAAATAGGTTCTGGCCTTGCATTTTGCAACCACGATCGCTCGCTGTACTGACGTGCGTCAGCCACATACTACTTTGGGGATTCATGCCCTGTCAAAATACACGGCTCCACTACCGCGTTGAGAGCGTGGGTCGAGGATTGCTTGACAAGAGTAGCTTCTGCGACTAAAGTAGTCTCAACTGGTCAAGTGGCACGGATTCCAAGGCTGTTCACCCCGCACATACTATCACTAGCTTTTCAAAGCCACCATGGGCGGCCTCCGGTGTACACCAGGTGAAAGATTAGTGATGCGCCCATGGCGACATGATGTACTGGAGTGTGGAATATTGCTGATGGCGTCAGACGAGTACCGAGTCGATGTTAGACAGCGGTGTTACATTCCATGGTCGACGTGCATCAGGGTGTTGTCACGCAGTCAATGAACAGGTGCCAGTTGCACTGCGGCCGGTATACTTGGCAAAAGCCAGGCGGCACTGCTGATAGGAGGGCTCGTACCAGCGAGGGTGCGGTTGACGCCTTCCACAACCTTATCCATTTCGTCGGGCCAGGAGGGTCCAGGGGCCACGCGAACAAGATGTCACGCTGATTACCAGACGCTGCGTTAGTATGGTGCGGAACATGAGGTCCGTGTATGACAGCTAGTCCTCGGGAGCCTCTGGTCAAAGACACACGGCGTGTGCACATGGCGTGCCGTGGCAGCGCAAGGTCCCAGAGCGAGATTGCTCTGACTTGGCTCCCCACACCCGGTCCAAGGCTACGAAACGGTTACGGTTGTAGGGCAAGTGTGTTTGCTTGCGACCAGACAACGCCCGCGCCCACGACTTCGAAACGCAACCAAGATTATTCAGAGGACCATGTCACGCCATGCCACAGTAGCCTTGCGATGTGCTCATGTAGGCGGTCACAATGTGCCATGACGCACCACGACTTCAAAGGCTGGTTAGTCACGAAGAGTGGGTGGGCATGCTGGAGTCAGTCCCGCAGTGACGATGTGACGATGAGAAACACGGTGAGGTCAGCGCGATACAGGGCCTGTTGGAGAGGCAGTGCAGCGACGAGCCCCACGAGGACTCGCTTAACGACCCGATTGAGGGCAATGGTCTAAGATTAGCAGCGCCCCACGTCCAATGAGACGTCATACCGCCTGCACAGCCGCATGCTAGCGCCACCAGCCACAGCGGTCCGGGCAAAGCGAGAGGATCGCGTAGCAGATGCGCTAAGGGCCACCAGGCGTGCGGAATGGCAGGACAGCTTCCCAGTCCTCCCATGGCTCCCCGACCGAAGCGGTGATCAAGCGTGCGTCTTCTCCAGGGTCTATCCCTAATGCGCTTGTCTTGCCCAGATGCAGCGTGAAGGCTCCCACGCGCTGCTCGCCTACTCGCTGACGGCCCTCTACCCCTCGTCACTTTCGGCATGGCTTGCTCTGTTGGTGCGT